CTGACACATCAAAACTGGCCAGCTTCTTGTTAGAGATGTCGTCTACTTCTTTTAGTCTCTGCATCATGTCGTTCGTGTTCCGAATATGAGCCGTACTCAGTGACCCTAATGCTTTGGTGAGTGGTTTGGCCAAAACTTTAGCTATGTTGTGGGGAGCGCTTCCGATGCCGGATATAATTGGTCTCATAGGCATACCCTGCTTGTGCACCTTTGGTAAGCCCTTCATTCGTGGTGCTGTTGGGGCTTCTTCTAGTAAGTGGTATAATTTCTTCCCTCTTTCAGACGTTTTAAGAACTTTCCGTGCTTCTTTGTTGAACAGTTGACTTTGTTTTTCCGTTTTTCCGTATGAAAAGAAGCCGGCAGGACATACGGAAAAACAAAGTCAACTGTTCAACAAAGAAGCACGGAAAGTTCTTAAAACGTCTGAAAGAGGGAAGAAATTATACCACTTACTAGAAGAAGCCCCAACAGCACCACGAATGAAGGGCTTACCAAAGGTGCACAAGCAGGGTATGCCTATGAGACCAATTATATCCGGCATCGGAAGCGCTCCCCACAACATAGCTAAAGTTTTGGCCAAACCACTCACCAAAGCATTAGGGTCACTGAGTACGGCTCATATTCGGAACACGAACGACATGATGCAGAGACTAAAAGAAGTAGACGACATCTCTAACAAGAAGCTGGCCAGTTTTGATGTGTCAGCCCTCTTCACAAACGTCCCTGTAGATGGGGCCTTAGACGCCATCAAAAAAGTAGTAGATGCCACAGATGACAACATCCTGCCATTACCAAGAGACCAGTACATGCAGATGGTGACATTATGCATGCGGTTTGGATGTTTCAAGTTTAACAAATCAGAATACGTTCAACACAGTGGGTTAGCCATGGGGTCACCGCTGAGCTCCATTGGCGCGTGTCTCTATATGGAAGATTTAGAACGGTCACGACTTCTAGATATAATCGGCCCTGATTCAGAATGGATGCGGTACGTGGATGATGTTTTGGTAGTGGTACCGCAAGACATGGACTTGGACGAAAAACTGAACCTCTTGAATGCTGTCAACCCAAAGATACAGTTTACATTGGAGAAGGAACAGAACGCCCAGCTGCCATTTTTAGACACTTCCATCTTGAGGACAGACAGCAACTTCAAATTTAAAGTTTTCAGAAAGCCTACCAATAAGGAAGATTACGTGCATTTTTATTCGGCTCATGCAGACAGGGTGAAAAGTGGTATAGTTATTGGCTTTTTCCTTAGAGCGTTTAGGATTTGTGATGATGACTACTTACAAGAAGAACTTCAGCACATATACGAGACCTTTGAAAGATTGAAGTACCCAAAGGGTTTTCTGATACAGCAGAGGAAAAAAGCAGAAGAAATCGTCAAGAAAAAGAAGAGAGGACAAACGAAGAAGCGTACAGACAAGCCTGATAGATGGATAACGATTCCCTATTCAAGAGAAGCGAATGCCATCTCAAAACAACTAGAGAGCATAGGTGTGCGGATTGCTACGAACTCAGGACAGAAAATCAAGAACATATTAGAAAGAAAAGAGAAAAACGAAGGCTCCGAGAAGAGCATTGTTTACGAAGTGCCTTGTTCGGGGTGTTATAAGACTTACGTAGGCGAGACAGGAAGGGGATTAAAAACGCGATTACAGGAACATAAGAGCGATGTCAAATTTCACCGGACTTCCAATGCGATCGTACTACACATAGAAGAATGCCAGCACCTGCCGAAGTGGGACGATACCAAAATATTGGAACGAAATATGAAGAAACGAAAACGAAAATGTCTCGAAGCGGCTCATATCATGTCAAGAAATACGTTCAACACAAGAAACGGGTTTATTACATGGTCTAGCATAGCAGCAAAATTAGCAGTGAAAGTGTCATAGGGTGAATGTCACATGTTAGGAAGAAAGAAATGCAACGACTTGCGTCGGTTTTTGTTATTTGTGAATTTTCAAATATTCTACATCTCATTGACAGTGATCAAGATACTTTATGTATCGAAAGCTTTGTCTTGTACAATAAACTTGAGTTATTATCGTCATTTTATTGGCTATATCGGACGATGAAAAGAAAAAAGTGCAATCATTTTTTCCCTTATCTTATGCGCTGATTAACAGTGTTCGGTCAATTCTGGGACACGCTGTACATTGTACAACCTACAAACCTACAAACCTACAACCCAGGGCTGCGGAGTCGATGGATTTTCGGCGACTCCGACTCCGACTCCGACTCCGGCTTTCAAAAACCAGCTCCGACTCCGACTCCGGGCAGAATTGTCGACTCCGACCGACTCCAGTTCCCGACTCCGACTCCGCAGACCTAGCAGGGCTGCGGAGTCGACAGATTTTCGGTGACTCCGACTCCGACTCCTGCTCGGATTTCTGAAATCGACTCCGACTACGACTCCGACTCCGGTCACAACTGTCGACTCCGACCGACTCCGACTCCGACTCCGACTCCGACTCCGCAGCCCTGCTACAACCTACCCTACAAACCTATACAAACCTACAACCTCATATCAATATGTTCCAGATACCGTTGATTACCGTTGCCAGATACCATTGACCTACAACGGTATCTGGCATCTTCCTGGTACGCCAGGCTTATTTACAGGGTGATTTTTTTTAACTGTTAAAAAGTAAACGTCAATGGTGGTCCCTAAATCGAAAAATCTTGTGCAAAAAAGCAATGCACGTGATAGATAAATCTGGGACATTTTGTATGGTGTCATGATTTGTCCCTTTTTAGCATATGCCGAAGTATGCCTTTAGCATTAGCGCGAGCGTGCGGTAAAAGCTTTTTGGATTAAATCGCATAATGTTGAAGGCAATTGGACAAAGGTTCCGGCCCATGGGCAAAACATTTTATCAGCGAACTTTTGAAGCATTTCCTGAGACGGAGGAAGGCGCTGGAAAAGAGCTTAACTGATAGAAATCTAACGTGAACTTACGTGTTGCATTTGGTCGCTTTGAACTATTGAACAGATTGTAAATGTTGGTTTTCAATAGGATAATATTTTAAATCCTAATGTAGGTACAGACATATTAATTAATCAGTAATCACCTACATTTATGGCGTCAATTTCATGCCTTTTACAACTGCAATGAATTGACAAAAAACGCATTTCACATTGATCAGTAAAAACTTTATTCATACTGACATGGGTAAAAAAACCAAGCGCTCGCTTCACAGGATGGTATACCTTCCACTCTTCTCTAATATTGAAAACGAACGTTACTCTGGCTTCTCATATGACATAGATTGAAGTAGATGTTCTTGGTTTGATATGAATCCAACTCAGAGCCAGACACAAGGATGGAACCGATGGAACAAAGTGATCTTGAGTCGGCTTGGTTTATTTTCTTGGTCAGGGAATATGTACATTTTTTAGTTCTTGATATTCGGTCTTGGTTTTTCCACTTCTTTCAAGCATGTAAAATTGTTAAAGAAGCTTAAATATGGAAATTAAACGGCATATGCTAAAATAAATATCACACTTGGGCCGGAATGTTTCATTCAGGACCTCGGGCTTTGTTGAATTTTCCGCCCTCGACCTTCGGTCTCGTGCGGAAAACTCAACAAATCCCTCGGTCCTGTATGAAACATTTTACCGGCCCCGTGTGATATTATATATAACCGAAGGCCTCGGCCCCAGTGGAGCCTGAAAATGTCCCACCAATCGGGCACGCATGGTCCACCGCCGTTCAGTAAGGAACGACACAAAACGATGATTTTGAAGCATTGAGGCAGTTCGAAGCATACGATCATCAAGGGGATACCTCAGAAAGACGTTAAATAATGCACGAACAAGCTTGTAGTCATAAATAACCTTCAAACGGTCCATCTGGCGTATGTGCATCCTCTGAAGAATCAGTCTTCAGGGAGAAACAAAAACAGCGAATCAGACACCACCAGGGCCGCCAGTAGCAAAATCCTCGACCTGCCCTTTCTAGACTTCTAGTTTTTGGACCCAGGTATGGCAGATATAACAAGAAAACATTGGAAATATCTGGCAGAGCTGAAAATGGGTGATAGGAACCTTTTCAGTCCGCCTAATGAGCATGGGAGTCCATGGTCCTGTTCAACACGTGCTCAGGCGGGCTGATTCGTGTCGGTGAGAGAGGGGGTAACTTCAAGCACAAGTAAAATACACGATGGACGTTCCTTCACATCGTGTCTGCATGAAATCAAAATGTCCCAGAATGCTCGTCATGCTGGTATATAATTTTACAATATATATTTGCATTTTGACGCCACTAAACCTCATTACTTTTTAACAAGTAAAAAAAAATCACCCTGTATATCATACTGCCTAGGTACTTTGCTAATGCAAATCGTTGCCCTTTATCCTTGTTATTGTAAAATTTCCACAATAGGGTTGGGGTGGAACTACAGCTATTATAGCTGTAGTTCTATCTTGCTATCATAGCTATCATAGCCACTCCTACACTATTTCTAGCTATGACATGTCAGATTAGGTATGGCTAGGTTAGGTTCAGCCATGTTATGTTCATTTCCTTTTTCTGTTTTAAAAATTGTCATACAATAATTTGTCAGCGACGAAGATTTGTCCTGTAACTCGAGGGAAACCCTACTGGAATCCTATTTTATTTCCTATTTCCTATTTTAATATGAGGTGCTGATGACCTATGTAGTCCAGCCCCAAGCTCAGCATCAATTGCATCATTGCATAATCATCATTATCATCATCATCATGACTTGCAACCATTGTACTTTGCAGCAGGTCCAATGGTCATAACAATCTAAGGTATACCTATGCCTTGATTTATCTACACTTAAATCAGAACATTTTCGTTAACCACTCCTTTTTGTTGTCAATTTTGGCTGAATAATCCATTAAATTTTAGACAATACCACACAAAACTAACGCACATTTGAAACAAGCTGAACACACATGCAAGTATTGACTTGGGCTGCACAGGGCACCGAGTAGAGTGATATGACAGTTTGTGTTCCTGCAGCGCTCGGCGTCGCCGCCACCATCTCTCACGATGCTCGTCCTGGTACTGGGTGACCTGCACATCCCCCACCGTTCCAACGGACTGCCGGCCAAGTTCAAGAAGCTGTTGGTTCCCGGTCGGATCCAGCACATCCTCTGCACAGGCAACCTGTGCACCAAGGAGACACTCGACTACCTGAAGACGCTCTCGACCGACGTGCACATCGTGCGAGGCGACTTCGACGACAACATCTCGTACCCGGAGCAGAAGGTGGTGAACGTGGGCCAGTTCCGCATCGGTCTCTGCCACGGCCACCAGGTGGTGCCCTGGGGCGACACGGAGGCGCTGGCCCAGGTGCAGCGCCAGCTCGACGTCGACATTCTCATATCGGGGCACACGCACAAGTTCGAGGCGTTCGAGCATGAGAACAAGTTCTACATCAACCCGGGCTCGGCGACGGGCGCGTGGCACCCGCTCGACAGCAGCGTGGAGTCGTGTTTCGTGCTGATGGACATCCAGTCGGGCACTGTGGTCACCTACGTCTACCAGATGGTCGGTGACGAGGTCAAGGTCGAGCGTATCGAGTACAAGAAGAACTGAGCCGCCCGGCGATGGGCAGATGCTGTGGGAGACGGTGCTGCCAGCCGGCTCTAGCGCCGTTGGCAGTGTGTGGAAGACAGAGAATGGGCGGTATCGGCCGGCTGTTTTGATGCGAAACCCGTGTTGCAGATGCAGGGCGTGATGGGTGTCCGTGAAGTTGCAGTCACCTGAGTCCATTAAATGGTTGGGAAATGTGCTGCTTGCTACGTCCGTTTTTTGTTGTGAATCCACCTTGCATGTCCTAACGTTTCGGTTCCATGACCTTTTTGAAACACGATCTGAACGTAGGTAACATCATGTCCAAGACTGTTTCGGTTGTTGAGGGCTAAAAATGTGCGAATTTGCTTATACAGCTGTATTGTGTATTACTTCTTGAACATTTGTTTAGCATGCTGAAGGAGTTTGTTTCGTGTACATGCTGTATTTTGCTGCGATCAGTTATGTATTTATTGTAACTGGGTGATAAGAGATATCGCTTAGCATGCACTATATTCCAATATTAGATGTCAAATATATTCAAATGTATACTATGCGACGGTATTATCTTAAATCTGATACGTAGTGCGTTATCCATATGTGCACTATATCCCAATCGTAGATCACTATGCAAGCGGAAGTGCCGAACGCCGGGGCTGTTGTAACAGAAACCCGCCTTAGGAAGCCATTAGTCTCATGTGTTCCTGGCGGCATTCAGCATGGCGATTTTGCCAACGGGTAAGTGATGTCCTACTGCGCCTTGTGTAGACGCGCAGAAGACCATACAATATTCCGAAGCTGCTGTCAGGCTACAAGACGTTTTTTATGGTTGACTTTTTATTTCGGGTCCCCGTGCGGCACAATGTCTTGGCCAGATGAGCTGACAGCGACTCGTATGCTGATTTCGATTGAGAGTCGGATGCCTAGCCTCGGCGTAACCACGCGGTGTCAACCAACGAATCGGTGACAGCCTCTTGAGTACCCATGTGTCACATTTGACACCCAGGGCCGGCGTTACCTGTTGACGCCTGATATCACTGTCATTTGACGCCCGGTAAAAGTTGTTGTCGGTTGACGCTAATGCCACCTGTTGACGGTTGACGCCCGAGGTCGCCCGTGGAATAGTTGTCCCAGAAGTCCCAACTGTTAACAGGTTGGTGCTGTCACCTGTTGACTGTTGACGTCTCCTTTGTATTAATTGGTTTATTATTGAAGTCATTATCCATATATGGGAATCTCCTCCGACAAAATGTAATGTCTCGTTTGTTTGATTTTCCGACGCATGTCTTGTTACTGAAACGGTCGCCTGGACAGATGTTTCCTATACATACCTTTTAAAAGCTCAAATGTATCGACCCCTCCCTGACCTCAGTTTAAGTCTCTTGGTGCCTACAGGTGCTTATATCCTACTTCCTAGCTCCTAATGCGATGCTCATTTGTTCCCCAGTGTTGCCGCGGGGTCCTTACGTCCTTACCGACTGGAACGGCGTCCAGTCATCCTGGCGGCGCGTACCAGCTGCTGCGGGGCGGCTGCGTGGCGCACCCTCGCGGAGCCGCGGCGGCCGGCCGGCCCCGCCTCTGCGCGGCCCGCGCCTGGAGCCGCCTGGAGCCGGCCGCGTCGTCTCGGCCACCGCGCGCAGGCAGAACGGAGCCGGTCGTCGCGAGGGGAGGACGCGCGCGCGGTGCTCGGAGGTGAATTTGGTTACCCGTTGGTGGCACGGGGTCGGCGTTCAGACGAGAGTGCGCTGTGCAACAAAGACGTCGGTAGCGGAATCTGCGACTGGACGCCACTGGAGCAGGAGCAAGGAGTGCACAGAGAAGCAGAGGTGAGTGAGTCTGGAATGTGGGAGAAAGCGGCCCGACTGGTTTGAGCCGCCTGGCCGGGCCCCGACCTCAGCCCGGCTGGAAGATGGCCTCCACTGGCACCGCCACGGGAGTGCCGGCTTCTAAACAGCTGGTATGTAAGGATGGTCCACTGTTTGTGGTAATTGTAGGGCCGAGTGGGATGATTTCTGACGAGCTTCTGCGATTATGGTCCAGAGTTTGAGTTTGCCGGATGGTTGGTGTTAGTTTCTGATAGTTGGTAGTGGCCGAGCATTCATCTATATCTTAGTTAGATTATTTGTGTGCTCCCTCAACGGTATGAATTGTTTTAGAACTTCTGGCGCGGACTTTTTTGCTGCTTCCCAGTCTCATACCTCGGCGAATCCTCTTCAAGGTCACACGCAGGAATGCGGCGCGTGGTGGCGTCCCCTCGAGTCGAGGACCGTGGCTCTGCGGGCGTTCGGCCGCGGCCCTGCCACCTGGGGCCGCCCCCGGCTGCCGGGCTGCAGCGTGTCCTCTTTTCACGTCCGAACTCAACGCCGTTGAAAGATGCGAATGCCTATTTTTCGTTACCGGCGGCAACATTGCCTGGATGTTGACTCATCTCCATCGAGATGATTCGGCTGTCTCGCGAGGTGCGGTACAAATGTAGCGGTCAAAACTCCATATGACTCATAGCGTATGACAATTCTTGGCATTATGAACAGCTCATACGATTGGTGGTGTATGTGGCTCTGCTTCAGATGTGCTCAGATTTCTGCCCTCTGATTGAGCCGAGAAAGAAAAGAAAAAAGGAAAGAAGGCCAAGAGGTGTTACGAACTATCTCAGCGTCGCCAACCCAATCAAAAGCATTTGAGATCTCTCCATTCGCTAAAGTTCCGGTTCGGGCCTGCAGGCGTAGACAAGGCGTAGATTTGCCTCCAAGCCTTAGCACACCGAGTGCATATTTTTTGTGCCTCCTAGACTTATTCCAGCCAGGGAAGGCTCAGCGACGTTTCTCTTCTCTTGCGGCTCCACCAGTTTCCCGTTCCTCCCTCGGTCGCCTACAGCTCGGTGCAGCTGGACGGCGGCCGTGTGCGTCGGCGGATCGGAAGTGCGCCGCTCCGCGCCGGCGGACAGTCCACGCTGCGCCGCCGCTCGGGCTGACTCACGCGCCGCGAGTTTCTCCGGCCCGGATTCCGGCGCGCCGCCGCCGCGGCAGGACTCGGCCAGCGCCTATCGCAGACACACATCCGCGGGGCTGCCCGAGCGCCGGGTCCTACTTCCGCGCCGCAGGTTTTAGAGTTTGGGTGAAGGCAAACGTGAGTCAGCATGGCGGAGTTTTTCTTCTTCTGGACTCGAGACGAGGCTGCGGCGCTGCTGTCTGTGTTATCACCGTGACGCACATCACCTGAGTCATGGTTTGCTGAGTCAACATGACGCCCAGAGAGCGGAGAAAGAGGGAGAGCCTTGGAGGCGCGTGGTGCGTCCTTGGTTCCACCTTGCGCTCCCACTCACGGACGCTGGCGCTATTTATGCGGCCTCGCATCGGCTGAGGGCTTATTTTCTCGGTTTGGGCATTAACCTGCGCTCGTTAACCTTTGCGGGCATTGTTACGCCAACCAGCTATGACGAGGCACTTGATTTGCTCCGCGTGCTTTTTGAAAGAAAACGGAAGGTGTTAATAAAGCTTAACGTTTTCGTCCACTGCTTATTACAGACATGCTTAATTATGTACAGCGGGAATTCGTAGTTTTAACGGGAACGCTCATCCGAAGTCCGCCGCCGATGTCCGTAGCCATCAGGCACGTGTTGATCTGCTGTGAATCGTCCATCGCTGCGGTGGGCGGCCCCCGCGGCGGTCGACTACATTCAGCGCACCTGTTGGAGCCCCAGGTGGGCGCGTCCGAGAGACGGACGCCCGGTGGCCATCCCGCCTTCCGGGGTACGTCCTGAGCGGCTCCCGGCCAGTGAGAGTGTGTCGCCGGCCTGCCGGGGGCGGCACCGGCCGCCGAGCGGCGCGTGATCCGCCGCCCCCGGCCCCGCTGCCCGGTCACAGAGGAGGCTTTCTCCGACCCTCGGCCGGCGCGGCGGAGCTGAACGCCGCCGCCCGTGCAGCAGGCGTCCGCCGAGGACGGGATTTGTGCCGGCCACCGGCCGCTGAGGGCGTCTAAGAAACCGGACCGGAGACGTGTTGGGTGAAGCCAGTGACTCGCAATGGACCTGTCCTGAACTCAGCTGCCAATCGCTCTATACAGACAGATATCGCTCATACGTGAAGTGGTGCAAGCCAACGGGTTCTAAGATCGGTCGTAGAACTTTCCAACTTATTGTCAATTTATCTGCATCGAGAATTGTGGTGTTTTTTCTTCTCTTGCATGCTCTTCTCTGGATCGTGCTGCGGCATCACGAAGATGCATCTCGTCCAGCTGACCCTCGGGGCGATCCCGTTGGTCCTGCGGCTGTTTCGCCGCGGGGTTTGCGGCGCCGCGGTCGGATCGTCGAACAAACACCGGCAGATGGCGGGACCGACCGCCAGATGGGCGCTCATCCACGGTCCGGTGGCCTGCCTACCTGCCCGCACCGTCCCGCACCGCACCGGTCGGCGGCGGGGAGACGTCCAACGACGTGACGGGTCCATTCGCAGCCGATAAAATAGCACACGTTTCGCCTTTATCGGCAAACGTAACCCGTTAGCTATACCGGTTCAATCGAGTGTTCCGGCATTGTTACAAGTATTCGAGGTTCCTTGAGTCTGAGGGCGTGATATCGGTTGAGGCCAACATTTCTATTGTTGGTTCAGCGCTTGGTTCAGCTCTGAAGCCGGCATTGAACCACCACCTGCCGCCTGGCGAACCGTGACAGTCTGTGCCGCCGACTTCAGGTTTCCGGTGCCGGCTCGGCCGGCTTCCGCTGTCGTTGGCCAGTGAAGGTCGGCTGCTCGAGCGGAGACAGATGCAGAAGGCCGGTCTGGAGACGGTGGTTCCGGACCGTCAGATCCGGCCCCGTGCTGCAATAAAACATTTCCTCGTCGCCGTGGCACTGTACGCGGTAATGACAGTCACGCTTCCGACCGTCTAATCCGATTTCAGAAATTTCTCTGCAATCTGGAGTGCACTCACTGGTTTCGTTAGTTCGCCGTAATATCCTCTAGTCACTCTCTCTCCGGAGAGTCGACTCTCGCGTCATTTCCGCCTTTGTGTGGCCTGCACGCCGGGGAAACAGCGATCTGTCTGGCGCGGCTCGGGGGCTGCTTAACTTTTCCGCCTTCGGCTGCTGCCGGCTTACGACATTGGCAGGAACTGTTGGCTAAGAATATTCGTGACGCTTGTAGCGTTTGTAAGTATGACCCACGACTTCACAGCGTGCATGTCCTTTTGTGCAGTAGGTGGGTATATCCGCAACCGTAATGTCGTACTGCTACTGTTACGTGATCCGTGCGATATTACGCCCAGGAGGCTGCGGAATCGATAAATGTCAAAACAATGATTTAGCCGACGCCATTCTAATTTCTCTCGCTAATCTTTTTTCGCCCGTGTCTCCCCGTTGACTTTTCTGGAGCCTGTATCCGTTAGAGCCAGCAGTCGTGATACCGGCGACCACGGAGCTGCAAGCTGTGTGACCGTCGTCCATCTGTCCCGTAATCGTGACCTGCGACTTTGCCATAGCTGTGTAGTGTTAGGTGCCGACTGTAGTTCCATGCTGTTTATTTTACCAGACCGACGACCACGGCGTGTACGTTTGTGTGTG